ACACACACACACACACACACACACACACACACACACACACACACACACACACAAAAACAGTTTGAGGTGTATTTTAAAATGTATCACAAATGTGCCTACCAATAAAACAAAAGTAGTCAACTAACTTATTAAAAGCTTCCAAAGTCATGGCAACATTGTCCTAAAATATGTTTTGTTCGCTGATGATAATGCAGAGATTTCTGAACAGCTTCTTAGAGTTTAAAGTTTTTCATTTTAAGACAAAAATCTGGATTATTCTTAGATGCTGTTGAGTCATTGATTACACACCATGTACCTGTCTATTTATTCCCTCTTTTTTTTGTGTGTGGAAACATCATTACATTAATCTGTGTCACTATGCAGTGCTGCATGATAGGAGTTTAAATCTCTAACATATTGCAGCTGGTCCAGCTGTGATTCTTTAATAATCTGAAACATTTTGTCATTGCAGGGCTTTTTGTACTGCAGCGTATTGGTTCCATCCAGGAAGGTAAATCCAGCTTTACTCTGTCTGGGAACTACTACAACAGAGAGCTTTCAGGTAATTAATGCCTGTTATTTGTCAATAAGTATGTGGATACATTAGTAGTTACACTTATATCACTGAAACACTGAAATCCAGTATTGTTTTTTCACAATATTAAAATTTTTCAGACACAGAATTTGGTATTTTTTTAAATTGTTTGTGAACCATAGTCATCAAAATTACAAGAAATAAAGGCTTGAAATATTTGTTTCTCTGTAATGAACCGAGATGAGACCAAACAAGATTTTAGTAGTCCCTCAAAGTGGGAAATTTACGTTGTCACAGCAGGAAGTGGAGAGTACAAAATCAGAGCAGCAGGAATGAAAAACAATCGAATAAAAACAACAGTACATTGTATAACACCATACAAACTTAACTAGAAGGATTAATAAAAAGATAAAATAAATGTAAATTTAAAATACAGATGTGTGTGTGCGTGTCTATACAGTGAGGGAAATAAGTATTTGATCTCTTGCTGATTTTGCTTACTACTTACTAGTGGCACTTACTACTTTGCTTATTATTTATTTCCCCCATTGTGTGTGTGTGTGTGTGTGTGTGTGTGTGTGTGTGTGTGTGTGTGTGTGTGTGTGTGTGT